GCAAGTCCACCAGAGCACACAGGCTCCATGACTGGGCCTTGGAGTCTGACCAGCTCCTCTCCAAGAGTGCTGGGCTTGTCATTGCCACAGGGATCGTGTAGTGGTTGCATTCAGGGGTCGCAGTGGACGGACCCTGGAGAAGGTGTCTCTACACCAAGGCGGCTCAAAAGGATTTCAGCTTCTGCACCAGGCTCCATGTGAGGGAGTCCCCCTTCCTCTGGCTGCTCTCTGGGAACTTCCTGGGATTGGGGCCCGACTCTGGAGAGCAGAGGGAAGCTGACGCTGCCCCACCACAGGGTCCCACTGCTCCGGGGGTGAGCAGTAGGTGTGAGCACTGGGAAATGCCTCTGAGCATGGTCCCTCACAGTTCGTGGTGAAGGAAAGGGAAGTCCAGAGAAAATTTGGGAGATGTGATCCTACAGGGGAGGGCCCAAGATGGAGGGCAGAAGGTGATGTGCCCAACTCCCTGGAGCACGAAAAGGCCTCCTCAGGACGGGAAGGTAAACGCTGTGACACCTGGGTTGTGTCAGTCATTCCACTCCTCCGTCCCTGCAACTCTGAAGTTTGTGTCCTGTGGGTTCCCAGCCCCATCCCTGTCTCTCTCCTTTCTTGCCACTGAGGTCTGACTGCACCTGTGACATCTCATACTCCTTCTTTCCTAAGAATTACTCTCGCTGGATGGGACCTGTTGCTGTTTAGTCTTGGTGCCTTCTCCTTGAAATCTAGAGAGACTGACTGTGACTTGGTTTCTGAGCGACTCTGGGTGCCACATAGATGTGGAAACCCAGGCCCAGAGAAGGCTGGTAATGTAAGGTGTGTTGAGTTCGAGAGCAGCTTCCCGGCACGGCCTTCTCTGCTCAGCCCAGCAGTGTTGGTCCCAGGATGTGCAGAGGCAGTTCTCACCCCTGAGTGTAGATGGAGTGGTAGAGTGTCATCATGTGCAGGGGTGTGCTGGTGTGGACACCTGCGTGGACACCTGTGTGGGCACAGCAGGGCAGAGAGACGTCAGTGGGCCAGGGAAGCATTGCTGAGTAGTGATATTTTCTATGGGGCAGGACTGGAG